TCGCGCTATTTGGAAAATTATGTATATGTCTTGTTTAATCATTTTGCTTTGTGAAAAGGAAGGCTGAGCACCCACAAATTCCACATGAACGTCGTCTGTGGAGAGAAGAACGAAACGCACAGATAGTTCCTAGTATGAATTTTCAAACAAGTAGGTATAGCCAGGCCATCCATCATTTACCAAATGGTGCGACAGCTGATTTCCATCTGATAATCTACAACTAGCCAGCCTGTTAGGCAAGTAGTCCTATGCTCATATTTCAACTTCTTTTTCAAAGCATCAATGTTCAACCACAGAATCAATTCAACCAAATTAATCACCGATGCACATAGGTCAACTTGACAAATTAAACAAAACAATAAACGCAAGAGGCAGCCCTATTTCTCATTTACGTAACTAGACAGTGCCAACAAAATGTAAACCAAAGGAGAATTGACTTTTATTTAGTTTGGCACAAATAGGGTCTCCCTCGAAAATCATGAAAATGAAACCCATGATGAAAAAATTTATACCTATTGCAGCCGCCACCTTGGATTTACATTTCGACAGCACCATCGGCTTCAACACCCTCGAAACCCATGAAAATGACACCCATGATGAAAAAATTGGTACCTAATTTAGCCGCCATCCTGGATTTACATTTCAACAGCACTATCGGCTTCAACACCCTCGAAAACCATGAAAATGACACCCATGATGAAAAACTTTATACCTATTGCAGCCGCCATCTTGGATTTACATTTCGACAGCACTATCGGCTTCAGCACCCTCGAAAACCATGAAAATGACACCCATAATGAAAAAATTAGTACCTAATTCAGCCGCCATCTTGGATTTACATTTCGACAGCACTATTGGCTTAAACACGCTCGAAAACCATGAAAATGACACCCATGATGAAAAAATTGGTACCTAATTTAGCCGCCATCTTGGATTTACATTTCGACAGCACTATCGGCTTCAACACCCTAGAAACCATGACAATGACACCCATGATGAAAAAATTTATACCTATTGCAGCCGCCACCTTGGATTTACATTTCGCCAGCACCATCGGCTTCAACTCCCTCGAAACCCATGAGAATGACACTCATGATGAAAAAATTGATATCCATTGCAACCGCCACCTTGGATTTACATTTCAACAGCATTATTGGCTTCAACACCCGCGAAAACCACGAGAATGACACCCATGATGAAAAAATTGATAACCATTGCAACCGCCACCTTGGATTTACATTTCGACAACCCTATCGGCTTCAACTCTCTCGATAACCATGAAAATGACACCCATGATGAAAAACTTTATACCTATTGCAGCCGCCATCTTGGATTTACTTTTCGACAGCACTATTGGCTTAAACACGCTCGAAAACCATGAAAATGACACCCATGATGAAAAAATTGGTACCTAATTTAGCCGCCATCTTGGATTTACATTTCGACAGCACTATTGGCTTAAACACGCTCGAAAACCATGAAAATGACACCCATGATGAAAAACTTTATACCTATTGCAGCCGCCATCTTGGATTTACATTTCGACAGCATTATTGGCTTCAACACCCGCGAAAACCACGAGAATGACACCCATGATGAAAAAATTGATAACCATTGCAACCGCCACCTTGGATTTACATTTCGACAACCCTATCGGCTTCAACTCTCTCGATAAACATGAAAATGACACCCATGATGAAAAAATTGATACCTATTGCAGCCGCCATCTTGGATTTACATTTCAACAGCACTATTGGCTTCAACACCCGCGAAAACCATCAGAATGACACCCGTGATGAAAAAATTGATACCCATTGCAACCGCCACATTGGATTTAAATTTCGACAACCCTGTCGGCTTCAACTCTCTCGAAAACCATGAAAATGACACCCATGATGAAAAAATATATGCCTATTGCAGCCGCCATATTGGATTTACATTTCGACAGCACCATCGGCTTCAACACCCTTGAAACCCATGAAAATGACACCCATGATGAAAAAATTGATACCTATTGCAGCCGCCACCTTGGATTTACATTTCCACAGCACTATTGCTTCAACACCTCCGAAAGCCATGAAAATGACACCCATGATGGAAAAATTGGTACCTAATTTAGCCGCCATCTTGGATTTACATTTCGACAGCACTATTGGCTTAAACACGCTCGAAAACCATGAAAATGACACCCATGATGAAAAAATTGATACCTATTGCAGCCGCCATCTTGGATTTACATTTCAACAGCACTATTGGCTTCAACACCCGCGAAAACCATCAGAATGACACCCGTGATGAAAAAATTGATACGCATTGCAACCGCCACATTGGATTTACATTTCGACAACCCTGTCGGCTTCAACTCTCTCGAAAACCATGAAAATGACACCCATGATGAAAAAATTGATGCCTATTGCAGCCGCCATCTTGGATTTACATTTCGACAGCATTATTGGCTTCAACACCCGCGAAAACCACGAGAATGACACCCATGATGAAAAAATTGATAACCATTGCAACCGCCACCTTGGATTTACATTTCGACAACCCTATCGGCTTCAACTCTCTCGATAACCATGAAAATGACACCCATGATGAAAAAATTGATACCTATTGCAGCCGCCATCTTGGATTTACATTTCAACAGCACTATTGGTTTCAACACCCGCGAAAACCATCAGAATGACACCCGTGATGAAAAAATTGATACCCATTGCAACCGCCACATTGGATTTAAATTTCGACAACCCTGTCGGCTTCAACTCTCTCGAAAACCATGAAAATGACACCCATGATGAAAAAATATATGCCTATTGCAGCCGCCATATTGGATTTACATTTCGACAGCACCATCGGCTTCAACACCCTTGAAACCCATGAAAATGACACCCATGATGAAAAAATTGATACCTATTGCAGCCGCCACCTTGGATTTACATTTCCACAGCACTATTGCTTCAACACCTCCGAAAGCCATGAAAATGACACCCATGATGGAAAAATTGGTACCTATTTTAGCCGCCATCTTGGATTTACATTTCGACAGCACTATCGGCTTCAATTCCCTCGAAACCCATGAAAATGACACCCATGATGAAAAAATTGATACCTATTGCAGCCGCCATCTTGGATTTACATTTCAACAGCACTATTGGCTTCAACACCCGCGAAAACCATCAGAATGACACCCGTGATGAAAAAATTGATACGCATTGCAACCGCCACATTGGATTTACATTTCGACAACCCTGTCGGCTTCAACTCTCTCGAAAACCATGAAAATGACACCCATGATGAAAAAATTGATGCCTATTGCAGCCGCCATCTTGGATTTACATTTCAACAGCACTATTGGCTTCAACACCCGCGAAAACCATCAGAATGACACCCGTGATGAAAAAATTGATACCTATTGCAGTCGCCACCTTGGATTTACATTTCCACAGCACTATTGCTTCAACACCTCCGAAAGCCATGAAAATGACACCCATTATGGAAAAATTGGTACCTATTTTAGCCGCCATCTTGGATTTACATTTCGACAGCACTATCGGCTTCAATTCCCTCGAAACCCATGAAAATGACACCCACGATGAAAAAATTGATGCCTATTTTAGCCGCCATCTTGGATTTACATTTAGACAGCACTATCGGCTTCAATTCCCTCTAAAAAATAATATTAATAAGAGATTTTTTTTATTACAATATTTTAAAAGCACAGAATAAATAATAGTAGTAGGTACGTACTAAAAGTAAGTAGTATCAATTTTTTTGTCATGGGTGACATTTTCATGGTTGTCGAGGGTGTTGAAACCGATAGTGCTGTCGAAATGTAAATCCAACATGGCGGCTGCAATAGGTATTAATTTTTTCATCATGGGTGTCATTTTCGCCTTGGATTTACATTTTGACAGCACTATCAGCTTCAGCACCTTCGAAAACCATTAAAATGACACCAATGTTGAAAAAATTGATATCTATAATATATATCGTACTTCCGTGTTTTACTTACCTAACGCGAGTGCAAGTATCGAGACCTGGGAGGAACCTGTTCATGGTCCTTCGAGTTCGAGCCGGATTTAAAATTCTAAAGGCCGATTTACATTATCTTAGTGTTTAGGAGAGTGCTTTAGGATAGTACTTTAGTTGAAACATGTAAACGCTACTTGCTTTAGTACGGTTCTACTTGACTTTCAAGTTGAATCAAAATAGAATCGCTTTTTATTTTTGTTTCAAGTTATACCCCTCCCGCGCCTGCGCAACTCCCGGCGCGTCACTCAGCACTAATCTGTGCACTCAGATCTTCCCTCGTTGTGTGTAAACACGTAAGTTAGTAAAATCTTTAGGAGAGTGCACAAGTGCCGTGAAACGCGTGCGTGTTTTTTGATTTTTAAAGATGGCTAAATGGTCGGAAGATACAACTATTAAATTTGTGTCTGAATATGTTGTTCACGAATGTTTGTGGAACGTTAAAAACAATTTATACAAAAACAAACAGGCTAGGCATTCGGCATAAACTGCCTTAAAAGAAGCTATGGGTATTCCTGGCCTCGACGTTAACGCGGTTATCACAAAAGTGAGTAATTAATGTAATTAATTAGTTATGTGATTTATCAAATCAATGTAATTTTTGTAATTTTTCTAGTATAGTAGTTTCTACTGATTTATTAATTGGTTCACTGATCCCGCTGATGGTAAATGTATGTGCATGTGGGTGTGTGTGTATGGGGAGGGGGGGGGGGGGGGTGTTGAAGTTATAATAATAACAACATTTTTTCTATTAACAGTTTGTTTTGTATTTCAGATTAAAAACATAAGATCAACTTATTCACAAGAGGTAAAGAAAATTAACGATTCAATGAAATCTGGAGCTGGAGCAGATTCCATATACAAGCCGAGTGTAAAATGGTTCGACATACTACACGATATGTTACGAAGCGTATACCTAGAAAATAGAAAGACGCAGAGTAATATGGTATGATTTTTTTCTTACATAAAAATTAATGTATCATTCGTGCTTGCCAGGAGACAGATCCTTCGCCCATAAAATAGTCTGCAAACTTTTCTCTGATCTGACGTGCGTTTTGCGACGAATGGTTGTACATGTGTCTAGGTATTGGCACAAGTCCGTCTGAAGGTAACTGTCTCCAGCTCCCTTCTACAAAATGTTCGTTCTCAGTGTCTTCAAAGTCCATTGTATGTTCTAATATCGAACTTTTGATGATTCTGAGCCAGTTGTGTAAAGCACAACAAGCTTTTACAATGTTATCAACAGTGTTTGGGCAATAAGGTAGTGGTTTTCCGAATATTTGAAATCTACTAACTAATATCCCGAAAGCGTTTTCAACAATACGTCTAGCACGAGACAACCGGTAATTATTTTTTTTTTCTCTTTGTGTTAAATTTTGTCCTCCGAATGGCTTCATCAAATAAGGCTTCAGAGGGAAGACAGCATCTCCGACTATAACATGATGTTCTGGTAGCAAGCCATTTTCACTCCTCCATCGGATATTCTACCATTGCACCCGATATCGATATATGAAAAACAATAGTTGTCATCTACCAAAGCCATTAATACAAGGCTATTCTGTTGCTTGTAATTATAAAAATAGCTTCCTGCTTCAAATGGAGCTTTAATGAATACGTGCTTGCCGTCAATTGCTCCACAACACCCAGGAAAGTTCCAAGATTTTCTAAAGCCATTTGCAATTGCCTCCCACTCTTTAGAGTTTCTTGGTACCTGAAAGAAAAAAAGAATATTTGTATTATTTTAAGTAGCTGCCGAAAATATTTCACTGACTTAAGTCTATTATTTTTATTTCAGAATACCATTGAGGATAAAGAAGACATGGAGGAGAATCAAGATGCTCGAAATTCTGAGCTTGTTAGTATTGATGATAGGCCAGGGGCGGGTTAGATCAGAACCCGCCCTTCAAGAAAAAGAAATATGAGAGGTCTGAATTCACTTCTAGACAAAGCAAGAGTAGTGGTAAGTGAGCACGACACAGAATCAATGATCGAAAAAGAAGGCACAAACGAATTCGAATAGTTTGGCAAAAGTGTTGGCGTCCAACTAAATTCCATGAGTTTAGAAAATGCTTTGCGGGCGCAAAGCGTGATACAAACCTATCTTACAAAAGTGCGATTGCACTTTGATTGTTCCTACACAATCTCCGAGTTATGTGCCTACACCATCTCCGAGTTATGTGCGTACACCATCTCCGAGTTATCTGTCTACACCATCTCCGAGTTATGTGCCTACACAAACCACTTATGAGCATACGTCTACTCAAGAAGCTCCTACAGATAGTGGACAATCATCTATGTCTGAAATACCTCACTCTGAGTTTATTGTGACATATACTCCTAATATTTCATCTGATACAGCACATTTCAGCCATCACATTGAAGTCTAGGTATACTGAAGTAATTCATGAATATTTAAATCTTGGACACATGAAATGTGTACCTGAAGACGACTATAACAGACGTGACTCTGTTTATTTACCTCATCATGCAGTGATACGCGAAGATAAATCGACAACAAAGATCAGGGTCGTGTTCGACGCTTCCTGCAAAGGAACAAATGGAGACATTGTCATGAGGTGGCGTATGCACCCGATCTGCCTGAGCACAGATGTCGTTAAAATGTATCGCCAGGTATGCGTTGCCAAGCAAGATGCAGTATACCAAAGACTCGTTTGGAGAAACGATCCAGGGTCTGAAATCAAAGAATATGTATTAGATAGAATTACCTTTGGTACTGCTTCGGCTCCTTACCTCGCTCTGCAGCAGCTCGCAGTAGATGGTGGGACGCAGTATCCTGATATAGCTGAAAAAATAAAAATAGATTATTACGTTGATGATTTAATGACAGGATGTCAGACAGTAGAAGAAGGAAAAAGAATATTTGAGAATATGAAGACATTGTTGAGTAGAGGAGGTTTTGAGTTGCAAAAATGGATAACAAACAATAAGGACTTAGCAGCAATAGTGATGGATAAAAATGAAAATCAGGAGGAAAAGAGAGACATACGAATGGACGACATAGTAAAGGTGTTAGGACTTTCGTGGGATAAGGAATCTGATTCTTTCAAGTACTCTGTGCAAATACCTAAAATTCAGGAACCTATTACAAAAAGGAGGGTGGTCTCAAACATCTCACGCTTATTCGACCCCTTAGGTTGGGCAGCACCTTGCGTTATTACAGCCAAGGTCCTGATACAAAAGTTGTGGCTAGCCGGTATAGGATGGGACGAGGACCTACCAGAAGAATTACAAGATGAATGGAATACTTACCAGGCGGAGTTGGTTTACATCACTAACTTACGCATTCCAAGATGGGTTGAAGCTAAAATTAATGATTCACGCGTGGAGCTTCAAGGTTTTTGCGACGCATCAAACACTGCATATTCAGCCGTAGTTTACTTACGGACTATGGATGCAAATGGTAATATTCATGTTCATTTGATTGCTGCAAAAACTAAAGTTGCTCCAACCATGCAGGTTTCTATTTCCAGACTGGAGTTAATGGGCGCTGTTCTCCTGGCCAAATTAATCACAGAAGTTGCAAACGTACTGCGCATTAGCCAAACCAACATACACGGATGGACAGACTCTACTGTGGTGTTATCGTGGCTTAGTAGCCACCCCAGTCACTGGACAACTTTTATCGGAAACCGAACATCAGAGATCCTATCAAGGTTGGATAGTGATCAATGGGCTCATGTTCAATCGGCTCAAAATCCAGCCGATATTGCTTTTCGGGGATGCACTCCTTCAGAACTTGATCAGAACGACATGTGGCTTCAGGGTCCATCGTGGCTAAAGAACCCATTAATTACTTATCCAAGACCGAAGTCCATATCAACTGACTTAGAGCAACGAAAGCTAAAGACCCATGTAGTCACCGACGCTAGTGCAATTTCAGATTCTTCCTTCTTGACAAGGTTTTCTTCCCTGCGAAAATTAGTTCGCGTTATAGCTTATTGTCGACGATTTGTCAGATACAAAAGGTCTAACAAATTTGTAACTCACCTGTCTAGCAACGAAATCGATGACGCACTAGAAGCTTGCATTAAGCATTGTCAAGCCACATATCTCGCAGACACAAGGACAAACTGAAACCATTGAGCCCTTTTCTGAATAGCAAGGGTATAATGAGGGTAGGAGGCAGGATCCAACACTCGAGTCTTTCCGAAGATATTAAACACCCCATTATACTTCCCCACCGAAGTCACTTCACGGACTTAGTCTTTGACGAGGCTCACAAAAGAACCATGCATGGCGGTCCATCTTTTATGCTGAACTATTTGCGCACAAAATACTGGATACTCTCAGCAAAGAGTACTGTCAAAGGATATGTACGCAAATGTGTTACTTGTGTTCGTCAAGCAGCTGCAATAAAAACCCAATTCATGGGCCAATTGCCAGCATGCAGGGTTACACCAGCAAGACCATTTCTACGCAGCGGAGTGGATTTTGCTGGACCCATCAACATTTGAGTATCTAAGGGACGTGGAAACAAATTGTACAAGGGCTACATAGGCCTCTTCATCTGCATGGTTACAAAGGCCATTCATTTAGAGGTCATCAGCGATCTCACAGCCGAGAGCTTCATAGCTGCATTTAAGAGGCTTGTTGCCCGACGAGGTCACGTAAGTGAAATTTGGAGTGACAATGGGACGAATTTCGTCGGAGCCTCCAAAGAACTTTGTAAGCTTGTAAGCTTAACAGTCGTCCGTCGCCGTGGAAATCAAAGAGTGGTTGAGTAACCAGAGTACTCAATGCCATTTTATCCCCCCACATGCACCAAATTTAAGAGGTTTATGGGAAGCCGGAATAAAATCGACTAAATTCCACTTAAAACGAGTTGTAGGCAATTCCACTCTCACGTTTGAAGAGTTAGCAACAGTTTTATGTCAAATAGAGGCGTGCCTTAACTCAAGGCCTCTATCGATGCTCTCTTCTGATCACATGGACTCTGCACCTTTAACACCTGCACATTTTTTAGTTGGTGAGCCCTTTGTTGTAATACCGGAACGTAATTACGAGCATAGCAACGTTAGTACATTGAGAAGGTGGCAATTTTTGGCGAAGGTGGTCGTCGGAGTATCTTGTGCATTGCCTTCAAAGATACAAGTGGTCAAATATTAACTCGGAACCTAACATTGGGGACGTTGTACTAGTGAAGGAAGATAATCTTCCACCAGCGCGATGGTTACTGGGCAGGGTGATTGCCAACCATCCCGGCTTGGACAATATTACTCGAGTTGTCACACTTAAATGCAATGGGTCTCAAATAAAGAGACCAACGTCTAAAATTTGTGTTTTACCAGTAACAAACTGATACTGTCTGTCTGCAAGTATTGTATATTTTGATTGACCCTATTATTCTTAACCTATTATTTTTTATTTACTTTACCTTTTTCCTATATTTTGATTATTGTATGTACCCCCTTGACCTCACGGTGGGCGGGTAGAAAGAACAGATACGTTCTTGGTGAGCGGGATGTTGAACCAAAAATCATAGTGTAATTTATTATTTGTCAAAATGTTTTCATCCGCCGTATCTAGATGGCGCTAGTAGTAAGTTACAGCGTGCTATCATAGTATTATTGTAATTTAACATAGGGTCCACTTTAATTTGACTATCCTACTATCGTACTGCCGTGTTTTATTTACCTAACGCGAGTGCAAGTATCGAGATCTGGGAGGAACCTGTTCAGAATGTCAATCCTTTAAATTAAGTATTTTAAAGTCCACTACTTAAAATTGACGTCCAATGAGTGAAGTTTTTAGTTAACGCAATCCTATTTTCATTCTGCGCATTTAGTATGTCCATCCTTTAAATTATATTAAAGTCCACTACTTAACATATGCCTCCCTAATCTATGGGAGATTGCCTCATAGGAGAATATTCGCCATAGTTGCCACGCTTGGCATGCGGGTTGGCAACCGCAGTTTTTTATAATTTTGTGTTGTTATCAGGAAGATGCTGCTGCCCAATCTTCTGTTTCAGTTTCCCTCTGTCGCCTCTAACGACACCCACGGGATAATATGGGTTCATATTCTTACACCGCCACTACACGGGTATTTTTTTTAAACTTGAGCTGTGTTAATGACCAACAAATGCATTTTATATTAAGTAAACAGACAATGTAACTGGGTTAACAGTCGTCGATATCATTCAGCAACGAGAGTAGTTCAAATACAAACATCATTATATTAAGTAATCAATTAATAATATACGCAGTTTAGTATTTCGTTTTTATTGTATCTGCGCTATTTTATACTAGGACACATTCACAAAAAAAACATCCACAACGAATTATAAATTCACGATTTTATTATTGAGCTTAATAAGTAAATAGTGTGAATATTAGTAAATAAGTAACACATTTATTTTTTATAGAATTGGAATTGA